TTCTGCCCAAACTGCCAACAATGTGTTACAAACAAAGCCCTTCCTGAAAATGGATCAAAAACACTTTGTAATGAGTGTAGGAGCCAATTTCAAAAGGGCCAACATCTAACAAAATCCTTAGTTCTCAGTGCACGACACTCAAATAGCCCACTACAGGTTGGGAAATCTGCCCTCCAAATGTTTCCACCAGCAGAAATAGTTTTGTATGGTGAATATACATCCGAAGAGTTAGCTTTTATTTACCTACATATAGGTATATACTCTGTGGGTGTTAGGTTTCCACAGTGGGTACATTTTAGAAGGAAGAGTTATGCAAGGTTTGGGATGATCTTTTGACAATTATTGGGCAACTGGATCCAAAGTCCATACACAGTAGTAGTTCTGCATCTGGATGGGTGTTTCCTCTCATTTACAAGCTTTTATTTACCTCATCCCTCCAACTCTAGCAGATATCCTGGCCAGCCAGCAAATCTACTCTACAAGAGTAGGAGGCATCCACTGCACAGGGCCAGGCACACAGGGCTTGGGGAAAAGGCTTGTTGAAGGAGTTCTGCTACAGGGGGTTGCATCCCACTGCCCAGAGTACTTCTGGGAAGATGCTGATGGCTCCAGATGGCAAACCACATCTCCTTATCTGTATACCACTCAACCAGGTGTTCCTTAGGCCTGTGATAATACTCACTAAACACACCTCCAGCCTCCACATCAATCAGGCCTTAAAGGAAGTCTCAGTACAAGTCTTTTGAAAGAGTTTGGGCTGCCTCTGGCACTTTTCCTTAGGCAGGACCCTCCACTCTGCCCTTCTAACCCAAGAACATCCAAAAGGACTCTAGATCTCAATAGTAGCTCCTAGGGGCTGCTGGGAAGAAAGATTTTCTTCCATTATGGCTTCACCCTGAGGAAAGAGCCCAAAGCCCCCTCTTCCTGTCTCATCCTTGTCCATTTGTAGATTATAATTCTGGCCTCGATCCCACCATTATGCCTTTGGCCATGCTGAGAACTAGAAACTAGTCTGGGATAGGAGTATAACCAGAGGCAAGTAGTGCCCACCCCTGGTCCTGACAGCCCCCTCCCTATTTTAGGCTTCTTCTTCCAGAACACTCTAGGCTCCAAGCCTCACCCAGGCCTGAGGCACTGATTCCAGCTCTTGGCTCCAGTCTCTATAGGAACACCCAGGCTAAGAAAATCGATAGTGTTAATCGGGAAGCTCTCTACTAGAGATGCTTTCCTAAAAGCAGAGCACATGTAAAACACTTAAAGTGGGAACTCTGTAATATGTTTCTTTTGTTACACGACCATCACACGTTTGTCCAGAGTTCTGGGCTTTTAAACCACATAAGGTTTTATGTGATCGTTATAAAATCCTTTCATTTCCCAAAGGTAGGGTAGTAAGGATTAAGTTTGACTACTGAAGACAGCTTTGTTGTAAATGGTCTCTAATGTCACAAAGTAGCTTGGAAAGGGAGGCTTATTAAACAAACTTCTTAGGTTGCAAATCATTAGAAGCAATCACATGTCATGTTCATTTGCTTAACCTGAAAGGTATTCATTTAGATGTTTAAGAAACTATGCAAATTAACATTGTTCCCAATGCCCACAAGAAAGCTGGCTGATCTTAAAGAAAATCCAAGGAGTCCCTTGAAGATGTCAGACTGAAGCTGAACATATATCTTGTGGTTTTCTCACTTCTTTAAAAAGTTATTCATGGAAATTTCTGCTCAGAGAAGAATGGGACATGATTTGTTAATCTGAAGATGAGAAACCCCAAAGGACTCTCACCCATCCAGCCTAATGGTGTGAGTTAGATTTCTGTCACCATGACACAATACCTGAGACAATCAGTTGAAGGGAGAAAATATTATTCCAGCTCACAGCTTTAGAGGTATCAGCCTGTGACCTGCTAACTCCATGGCATTTAGGCATGTGGTGAGGTGGAAACATGGTGAGAAGGGTGTGGCTGAGGAACCCTGCTGGCCCCATAGCAGCCAGGAAGTGAAGAGAGACCATGAGTGATGAAGGAGCTGGGGACAAGATGTGCCCTTCTCAGGCACACCCTCAGTGATCTACTTCTGCTAATTTAAGTCCTATCATTAAAGGGATACAGATTGCTCCAAAGCAGGGACATGCTGGTATGAGGAACAGTAATGAACACAGGGTAGATCAGGAGATTTGAGACCTCCCTTTACCATTCTTTTAATGGTAGTCCTACTGATGTTTTCAGCACCTCTTAATAACACCATCAAATTATAAATACATCAATGGATTCATTCACTGAGGAAGTTAGAGCCTTAATGATCCAATCACTCCCCATAGTCCCATCTCTGAACATTGCTGTGTTGAGGATCCAGCTTTCAACATTTGACCTTTTAGGGAACAATCCTGATACAAACCATAACATGTTGTCATCCTACAGAGATGTCAGGGGTGTGGTAGGACAGTGAGCCACAGCGGAAACTATGCCTCAGGTCTCCTGACCTATCCTATGTGCATTACTGGCCCTCATATCAGGCCATGTTCCTGCTTTGGAGCAATCTTGTGTCCCTTTAATGGTAGGGAGGGAATGTTGGTAGGATGAGAGTCTAATGGAACAAGGGAAAGTGGCTGGGGAAACCCTTGATGAAAATAATTTATGTTTTTGGAAATTATCCTCAGGAAGGGAAAAAATTGCAGCAGCAAATGCAGGCAGTGTGGGTTTTCATTCTGTTCACTGCAGACCCTGTGGTATCACATTCCAGGACATAGGAGGGCCAGTCCTTGGTTGGAGTGATATCCTCCTTCCTCTTGCCCCTTTTGACTCCTGATCCTGGATGTCCCACACAGTTCTTTTTCTTTCCCAGCAAGCATGACTCAATCCTGCAGTGGAACCAGGTTCATGCCTGTGTCCTGGATGCTGGCACTGTCCTCTATTTTGCCCATCCCTCCTGATTCCTGTACTAAATGGGCCTTGGATCATTCCATAGGCTTTTCTTTCCTGAAGTGGGGAATCAGGTGCTAATTCCAGCTAGTCTCTTTTTTAACAGCTAGGAATTCATACTAATTCAGACTTTTTTTTAAAGAGTCATACTCATGTATTAAATGTAGCTTCAGAGTATACTTATTAGGCTCTGAGTAGGCACTCTGATTCAACCTGGATGTTATTTTCTGTTTTCACTTCCGTTAGGATTCCAATTCTGATTGCGTCCTGATAGTAACAGGCTATAATAGGACAGCTGCATAGCATTATTACTCAGTAGTTTATTGTTACCACATGCACACATTCTAATAGGTAAGGATGGTCTATATGTCTGTATATATAGGGTAGATTCTTATAAAATTCTTTCCTAGATGATGGAATTGAAGATTGGAGGAGTAAAATGAATTTCTTAAAGACTCATAGGGACTAACAGCAAATGTGTTTTATTTCTCCTGCCATTTGAGCTTAAATGCTTATTTGGAAAACAATGTCGCGAAGGATTCTGAGCCTGTATCCAGGCTCAACATAGAAAAAGTGCTTTGATTTGATCATCATTGTGTAACCAGGGCCTAGTTCATTTTCTGCCTGCAGCTAATTCAAACATGCCTCAGAGAAGACACGGCTTGGAGTGGGGACCTTCAGAGGCCTAATGATAAGTTACTGGGGCTCATCACAAAACAAACCCTGCTGAGGGTCTCTGAACAATCTTTACTAACAGCGGTAACATGTTGGATCCTGCAAGTCACACAGGCAGGATATAAATATTAGCCAAGTCCTGGTAGAACAGTTGTAAAATAGAAGGTTAGGGTCAGAGTTGAAGATCTCTTTCAATCAAGAATCTAGGAGGTCTGTAGAATGGTGCTTCCAACATGTGGTGAGCTTGTGATAGGACCCCTGAAATTACTGATGAGGGCATCTCTCTGAGGCTTCAGGGTGATCCTTCTCCCGTATGTACATCAACTTAATTACAATGGTGTCTGTGTTCATTTTCTAGGATGGACATACTAAGTGTCAAAAATTGAGTGGCTTAAAATAATAGAAAATTGGAAGTCTGAAATCAAGGTGTCAGTAGGGACATGCTCTCTCTCTGCAGGCTCACTTCATCCAGCATCTGGTGGCTCCAGGTGTGCCTGGCTTGTAGACGCATCCCTCCAAGTGTAGGCCTTCACATGGTTTTCTGCCTTAAGGACACCTGTCCTACTGGATGGGGTCCTACCAATTTATGAATTCATTTTACTTGTTACTTTTGTAAAAACCCCACCTCCAAATAAGGTCACATTCTGAAGTAAGGAGGTAGGGACTAAACATGGTTTTTCTGGTGCACATGACTGAACTTCTGACATCCACAAACCACGCAGTGGCACCTCTGCTCACAGAAAAGCAAGTGAGACACCCCCACTGCCAGGGTCAGGAAGACCTCCTGCACCGATGGTGCAGGAGAATGCATCTGAGCCTAGCCTGCTAGTCCCCATGGCACCAGGTGAGTAGACCGCACAATCTTCAAGTGCAGCCCCGGATGGGCAGTACTCCAGCTCCAGGTTCAGTGCAGTCCCGCGGGGCGTGACCTGGATTCAAACCTCCTGGGTGCACTAGGCAGGCGCCTCCACCGCCTCTCCAGCGGGAGGCTGGTGGTACACAGCCTGGGGCTATGTGTCACGAGCAGGTAAACTGAGGTACAGAGCCGAGAAGCAGAAGCAGGAACGCACCGCCTGGCTCCTTTCGCCAGAAGAGCTCCAAAAGCAGGTACGCTCGACTGGCCGGATGCGAAGACGGGAGGGTGCAGATTGCCCGACCCCTAGGCTGCCTGAATCCAGTGTGGTTGCGCAGAGCCTCCGGCCGGGGCCGCACACTGGGCATGCTCTGACCGCGGGGAGCGCGGGGCCGGGCTAGGTTTTGCTTCCGGCAGTCTGTGGGTCCGCCCCCCATCCCCGGCCCTGCCCTGTGCGTTTTGGCCCCACCCCCATGCCGTCCGGAGCCGTCCGCTCTCCCCTTGCCCCGCCCCTCTTAGGCCTCGCCCCGCCCAGCTTCGTCGTACCCCGGCAGCTCCGCCCTCTCTCTGGGCCCCGCCCCCGGCCCTGGCACGCAGTGCGTGCCGCGCTGTTGAGTACTTGCGTCGTGGCGCTCTCAGTCCTGGCGGTCCGCGCAAGTTGGTGAGTGTCAGGGTTTTCTCTATCCCGGCACAGAGCCGGGCTCTCTCTGGGGAGAGCAGACTTCCAGAGCCCAAGGGACAGTCACAACCCACACCGGTCCTGCCCGCGTCCGCCCCTCACTCAGCAACCACCCCCCCCCCAGGCCCCAAGAGTGCACCAGGTGTGCCCTACCTGCTCGCGGGCCTGGCGTTCATGGGCCGAGCTGCTCTGCGGTAACCGTGGCCTTTTAGTAGGGATGTTGGCCACTCCAGTCCCTCTCCGTAAGGCCAGTACCTCAGAGGCTGTCCTGTGTCCCCGCCTGCGTGCCTTTCACTGCTGACTAGTGCGTGGGGGTCGCTCTGCCTTCCTGCAGGAAGCTTCCAGAAGTCCCTGCTCACGCCTTTCTCACAGCAAACCTTTAACATGCTCCTTCTGCAGAACCTCGTATTTCTTTCTTGCTTGAGGCAGCACTTAGAGGACGGCCGTGTTCCAGAGTCCTCCAGTTATCATGGCTCGCGTTTGTATACATTATGCCCTAATTGTGTCCATAAACACTCAGAGTAAACAAGTGGAGTTGGAGAGCCATTTACACTCAGCACTATAATTCCCAAGTTGGTGATAATACAGTAGAGTAATTCTAAACTATGTATTCCTCATTCATTGGGTTTATCATTTCCTGAAATCTCAATGGTTTTTGCTCCTGTAGCTGGCTTTCTGTCATGGAAAACAAGATTTGTTTAAAGAAAAAAAAAAAAAAGGAAAAAGAAAACAGGGTTTGTATATTGTGTATGCTGTGGTTGGACTATTCAGACAGGAGAGCAGCTTTGTCCAGAGTGGGGTCGGCCATGGTGGGTGGACCACAATGTTGTCAAACATAGGGGTATAAGTTAGACTGGTTATTATTTATTTACATACATATACTGTACCTCTATTTTGGTAGAACTGGCTATGGAATGCAGGACTGAGGCTAAGCAAAGGCTCTACCACTGAAGTACATTCCCAGCGCTGGTTACTTAAGTATAAACCCAAGTGTAAACCTGTAGCATCTCTGCTAAAGAAACCCTCCTATCTCTCCTATCCCTGACAGATGATCAGGAGATGGTTTTGTTATTTTCATGGGTCTCTCAATGGCTAAAACACTCATGGAGATAAAAAAGCTTAGCACATTGTGGTGGGTAAAAAATTTGAAGAAAACTGTGTCAAGAGCCTGGCTGGTAGTCAATATCATGTTAATTCAGATGCATTATCAGGATATCTGCCAGAACCAAGAGGCTGCAAGTTGGCAAGGAGAATGGACTTGTGGTGATAGGGGTCTTGTTTCTTCCTGGGTTCTTTCTGAGTTAGAGTTTGGCAGTAGAGGTGTGTTTTAAGGTCTACGGGGCTGGAGGAAACAGGCTTCAAGTACACTCCTTTACTAGGGTGCTTTTCTATTTAATTTTTTTTTATTGGAAAAATGTATATTACAATATTGGATTTAACTAATATTATTAGAGCCCTAAGGACACTCTGGTTACCATCTGAGTCTTTCATGGAGCTAAGATTCCTAAGCCAACTTTCCTCCCAGAGCAAGATGAGGTGCTCAGGGTCCTCCTCTGAGATCAGGCCACACACTGGGGCTTTGTCTTTCACTCATATCTCTCCCATCACATCACGTTGTCCTCTGAGCTGTCCCTAGGGAGGAAGGGGAAACAGGGAGCTGTAGGGAACTCTTATTCTCTACAGTTCCCTAGGAATTCCATTTTTCTCAGGAGCCAAAGCATTTGATTCTCTTCAGTATTTGCTAATTCTCTTTTCTTTTGATCATCTATGAATGTTATACATACTTTTCAACTGCTAATATCCCAATAAAGTCATTGTGAGTTGAAAACGTAAGTGAGAAATTCACTGAATACACCTAGCCTCCTAGATATCCTCAGTCAGCATCATAGCACACTTCAGAGTGGGCTGTTTCTGACTGGGAGCTGTCACACTGTCTGCCAGCATTACAGGATCATATTGCAGATCACTAGCCTGGGAAGAGATCCAAATTCCAAATTCAAAGTATGGTTTCTGCTGAATGCATAGTGCTTTTGCACCATGGTAAAGTTGAAAAACAGCAAGTCAAACTGTGTAAGTTGGGAACTGTCTGTGTTTTTAGGTTGTTTTCACACCTCACTCTGACCTGCTCAACTCCCTATTTCAATTTGAAGTTCCTGATCTAGATCTGCTTTCCCTGAGGCCTCTGACTCCTGGATGGGTCTCAGGTCAGCTCTCCGTGAATACACTGAGCTTCTCAGGCTTTGAAAGGCCCTGAGCCCTGCTACTGCCACAGCTTTCCTTAACCTTCTGTCTCCTGGTTAGGTAGTTCATGATGCAGATACTTGCTGAATAAAACTGGCATCTTAATGCAGACTGTCATTTAAATAAAACCTGAAAGTTTTTAAATGGGAGACACTTAAACCATAGTTTCACTAGGTGACCATGGGCTCCCTGTTAGCTTGTTTACAAACACAAACAAGCTGGCCCAACACCCCATTATAGTTTTGAAGTGAAGGTGAGAGGGTTTATCTAGGGTTGGGGAGGAGGTTAGAGCTCTGTGGGAGGCTGGTTCTCCTTTGCTGGGCACCATGGATTTTCCCATTTTGTTTGTTCTGAAATCCTGTCTTGAACATTAGGTAGATAAAATTTGGAGACACAATACGATGGTGTATGTTTTTGGATTTTGAGTAAGTGCTGTATATCTGCAGTCTAGTTTTCATTTGACTTAAAAAAAAATTGACATTAATAAAGAACTAACAGAGGAGGGTTGGATGGTTTGGAGGAAACCATATAATGACTACATTGGAATGTATTGAATGACTTATTTCTTCATATAACTATTAAAATGAAGAGGATCTAATCATTTTGTAATCTTTGAAGAAATTGGTGGCTTTGGCAGATGTGGCTCATGTCTTGCCAAAGTGCTGTGGGTGCACTGTGCGCTGAAGTTTGCCTCTGTTAAATAATGAACGGGCTGCTGTAGGGCTACTAACACAGCAGTGACACCTTTGGCCACATGTTCAACAGTCACTTGTTTTCTATTTCATGAATTGTTATCAGGAGAGTAGGGATCCCCAAAGAGCCTCATGTCCCCTGCACCCCTGCCTGAAATACTTATTTGGCCTGTGATGTAGCTCTTGTAAAGCCAGTTAAAAATGCTACCCAAACATTATTTATGGCTGTTAAATTTGTCATTGTGTGTGTAGATTTGTAGTCATGAAAGGAATTGTGTGTGAGAGCCATAAATGCCCAGTATATCCACTCTCAAATTCTCAAATTTTCTTACAGTAATTTCCTACCCATAACACTTGTGAAATCAGCACAGCGTCCAACCCTAGCTCTGTGGCCCATTCCCAAAAGTCCTGGGGTGACACTGAATGTAGAATCTACCAATGGTGTGGCTCGTAAAAGCAGGCACTTGTTAAATCTATTTGTTTTTATTATAGACATCGATCTGCCAGTCACAGTAATGCATTTATGGACATTTTTCTGCAAGCACAGCGCTGGTGGCAGTTTTTACTGACAAAATGAGTCATATGGATAGTAGTTTAGAAAACTCTTACCTTATTGACAGATTAGGCAGTTCCAGCACTGGATTATTTCAGAGATACCTAGATGGTTGAAGAGGGAATGAATCTCAGGGCAATATAGGATATGAAGTATTGAATGTGGAAACTAATAAATAACTGGTAGTTATTTCTCATTTGTTTTTAAACTTTTAGCTATGTGTTACTGTCAATCAAAACTTCTACAAGTGGTGGACCAACAGTGTCACCTTCAGGTTTGGCGATTGCTGGTTTGTAAGAGTCACCCTGAACTAAGCCTCCACAATGCTCACAAACCAGCCCTTTGGATATGTTGTTCTCCCTGAAGTAGACTATTCACTGGGAACAGTAGGGCAGTGTTTTTACAAAGTTGGCCTGAACTCTGATGGCATCAGAATTATGGAGAGTTCTGGTTACAGAGGTACATCATAGGGCCCCCTTGGTAGGGGCCCCTATAGCATCAGAACTTGGGAACCTGTGTCTTTGCAGGATCCCCAAGAGATTTTGGCATATCCTAATGCTTGAGCACCTCCAGGAGTCCTTAGGATTACTTGCGAAGGAGTGCTTGCCAGCCCAAACTCCGAGTTCTCTTTCCAGCTGGATCCACTTGTAGCCAGCATTATTCTAAGTTGCCTGTGCATATGGATCTGTGTATGGTTTTGTAACTCCTTAGAGACATGTCAATCTCTTCAAAATGCAAACCCAACATGTTATCATAGCATTATAGTTTTCGGTTTTGTGGTTATGACAAAAGATGCAGATGTTACCAAAACTTTGGCATCAGTTTTACAAACAAATGTGAAGCATGGACAGCTATAGTGTATCTCCCTCTTCTTTGTCCTTTTGGGTGGATTGTGTTCCTTTTTGATCCCTCCAGATAGATATATTTTCATGTCTCAGGTGAGCATTAACTTTTGAATACACAACTGAATATATTTTTGTGGATCTAAGTGGAATTTTTAATAGTACATGCTGGAACTGTGGGTGGGGAGAAGAGTGGATGTGGTTCTAATGGTGACAGTTACTTGCTGGGTGATAAGGGAACTTTTAACCACCCATGCCCCAGATGCCTCCTCATCTGTTGGATGGGGATCATCAACTTATTCTTGTCTACTTGAGTAAATAGAAGTGTGTGAAATAATAAGTGAATACTTTTAAAGTAAAAGTGCTATGTGGATAAAATGTTAAGTTGAAACCATGATCTCACAGAAAGATAAAACTGGAAGAGGATTAAGAATCATTCACAATCCGTATGTCCCTCTAGTCTAATCAGCATGCTCATTTCCCTCTAGTCCCATAAACATCTTTTTTCCCTCTTGGTTCCATCATAATCTTTGTTTCCAACTAATCCAGACAGAATGCTTCTTCCTTCCAGTCCAGTCAGTATGCTTGTTTCCCTCAATCAGCATCCTTGTTTTCTTCCAGTCCAGCTGGAATCCTTGCTTTACAAATTCACAT